AAATTGTACCATAAGTAAATTGAATAAAATCAACCAGGATGTGGGCAGAACACAAGATAGAATGCAGACTGTGACACATGAATAGCTAACTGTATTACAAATAAATCAAATAGTCACACTGAAGCAGATCAAGAAAGGAGAGACCTAAGTCACTGGAAAACAGTGTTCTGACTGGGTACTATAAGGCTACAGACAAAAAGAACTGCCCAAGCAATCCTCTAGTTTTAAACTTGTTTTTCACTGGGAATGAGTTAGCAATTTTTTACATGTGTACTATTTTTACATGTGTACTAGGGTTGAACAAACATACTTGTTTGTTCAGATAGATATACTATAAATAAAGAGAACCAGTTTTCCTATAGACAAAAAGAATTTAAAAGTAAGGAAAGGGCAAAGGTGAGAGTAAACAACTGTGGTACTAGATTTGAGTGATTTTATCAGTATAAACACATGTTGTGTTTATTTACATATACACACATTTATATATGTAAAAATATATTTACAAATAGATACAAATATATGACTATGTATGCACATTCATGGGTTGGCATTTATACATATATTCCCTATCTCTATCTTCTGAGAGGAACTGACAACAGTGATACCCTAGCATTCAGATTTCAAATACCATTCTTTAATAAAAAGGAACAGGGCTCCTCAGAAAAGTGGTTGAATCTAGGGCTGGGCAAAGAAAATACAAGATGAGCCTAGAAATCAAGGAGTGACAAAAAGTAAGGAGGTTCTCAAAAAAAAAGATGGGACACAACAGCTCCTTAATGGTCTCAGAATGGCCAAAGCTGAAACAATCTGAGCAATAAAATAATGACAGTATTGAATTATAACCCAAAGAGCAAAATAAATATCCATAAACTCATACTGATATAAATAAATAACAGTAAATAAACAAATGAGAGAAAACATGCAACTTCTCTTTACAAAAGAATTCCAATTAATAAATGAGAAAAATAGAAAGTCACCATTAGCATACCATAATCACTGCTGCTGGCAAGATAAACCACTAACATTTTTGGGTGAAAGTTTAAGGAGAAACAGGATATTTGCATAAACACCCACATAGCACCAACTATATTGTCTTATTTGCTTTTATAATCTCATGGTATTTCACTGTGTGGAGGGTTTGTCATCTCATAGCTAAAAGCTAAAATTTCTGTCTTGACCCACTGTTGTCAAAATAAAATGGAGAATGGGTAGGAGATGGAATCAAATTGAAAAGCATGGGCTTTGATGACTGGTAGACCCAAGTCCAAATAACAATTATGTCACTTATTGGTTGTATGGCCCTACGCAAGCTAACTACCCCAAATCAGCTGTCTCATCAGTAAAATGGAAATATAAGTACTACACCTTAAAGTTACAGCTAGGATCAGGTGAGGCAATACATATATAACACCCAATTCAATAGATTTATTGTTATTATTCAATCGGAAAATTTCAGAAATATCAGGCATCTGAACTATGTGAGCCAATTTAAAGAGAACACTGGTGTTTCTTTCTGATTATGTATCATCCTATTAAGACCAAAAGAGGAATCTTTGGAAATGTAAAACAGAGCTGCAGCAACATCATTATAACTTTGACCTTATTCTTAAGTTTGATCAGTAGAACAACATGAACATTTGCTTTACAAAATTTACTTGGTGAACCTAAGTGCCAGAGATCTTACAGGAAGCACTGTTACGCTAGGTTGATTTAACTAACAGATTTATCTTTGCAGCCCTGGGCTGAATCACCAGTTCATTAAGAAGTCAAAGACTCTTCCAAATTCTGATCTTTATACCCTAAGCCAACACTTACCAAAAGGTCTGAACTGTCCACATAAGGTGAGGAATCAGGTAGTGAATTTACTAGTCTCATTCCTCCATTGTACCAACAAGATAGGAAAACTATTATTTTTGTGTTCGCATTTCGTTATCCACAGACTACTCTTCCAACTCCAAGGGGAAGTGGCCATAGTAACTTTGCTGTCATTCGTGTATTTGCAATATCAAATCATTGCCAGCTCTGGAAAAAAAGCAGGTGCCTTTTCCTGGCCTTCCAATAGAATATATAAATAGTCAAAGGAGTGAGACATAGCCTCTGTAGGTAGAAGTGTTCAAAATTTATTCATTAATTCACTCAGTTAACAAGGACTCACTAAGTCTCTACTGTGTGCTAGACATTGTGTTGGGTGTTGAAAATGAAAAGATCAAAATAAAAAGAAAACTCTTGTCCTCAAATAGTTTACAGCCTAATTAAGGGGAGATAAGACACATTGACAATTATAACACAGTGCAGTAAGTAGAATAGAATGGCTTCACAGAAGGGGTTAAATTTCTGTTGAGTTCGCCAGACTGACAAGAGGAGGGCCATGCCTGGCAGGAGGCACAGAGCCTGCAAGCACAAAGACATAACCGGAGGCCTGAATTCAAGGTTCCCTTGGGGGACCAGGTGCAGATGAGGCTGGCGAATTAGGCTGGAGCTGTTAGCAGTTTGGGCTTCATCCTATTCAATGGAAAACTACTAGTTCAAAGAGGGAACTATTAAGCGTATTTTAAGCAAGGGACTGAGAATCAGATTTACTTTTTTAAAGATCATTTTAGTAGCTATATGAAGGATACATTGGGAAGGGTGACTGGAAAGCCAGTTAGGAGGCTATATGGTATTGTAGTGAGAGAGAATGTGGTCCTCATGGAATCCCTAAGATTTCCATGACTGAAAAGACCTTATTTTTTGAATGGGGTCAACAAGTATGAAAAATGTTTTTCAATTGAAAATCAAGAGGGTAACCAGGAAAAAATCAGGCACTTAAAAGAATAAAAACAGGTTTTAAAATAATGAATTCTCACGTATCCAGACTGGTTCTCTAGCAAATGAATTAGTTTATTGAAGACCAGGTTTTCTCTAACTCTGTAATTGCCGACAAGTTCTTATATGGTTTGCCAGATAGTAGACAGAGAAAAAGAAATGAAAAACACTAAATTGCTCCTCAATATGAAGATTCAAGGAGATGAAAATACTCATTGAAGTGTTTGGACTATCTGTGGAGTGCATACACCGTCTCTCATCTCTATAGATAAACCAAAGGTCAATGCAAGAGAAAATGTACATACTGAGAGAATAATTGGCTCTTCGCATTAACGCTGTAAAACACCCTCCCACTTTTCATATTGAAAAGCTTTATTTGGTCCCTTCATCTGAATAATATATGCAATGCTCATGTCTTTTTCACCGGATGAACTCGCAGTTTGATGAATATGTCTTAAAGCTGTGTTTTGATGGACAGTTCCTCCATCGCAGGTTGAGGCTCAGCTATGGGAAGAATTAAGAATAACGAGATCGACTCAGTCAGCCACTTGCTAAACTAGGACTCATCCCGGATCTGACTGCATTCAAGGGCTGAAGTTATTCTCAGCGGCGCCCCCAGGGAGGAGAGGAATGCATTACTCGTGCCGGCGGTGGTAAAGGGTGCTCTGTCCAGCTACCTAAAGCCGCATTGTCTTTTCACTGTGGAAGGCTTCTTGTAAGGGTAAATTCTCACTCTTGCAGCAAAACAACTAAGAAACGACTGCAGTGTTATTTTCAGTGCTGTTTCTCGTTTCCTAGCTACAGTCTGATCGAGAAATACCAATTCAGTTACCTGTAGACAAGGCAAGTAATGAACTATGCTGAAGAGACACAAGACAAGAGCAGATTCCATGTGTTTTACTCTCCGCCTGGCCATCACCGGCGCGGATGAAGAGGGGCTTGGTTTTCACTTTAGCCAGAAGAATGTTTGAACTCTGTATCTTACCATTTTTTTTTATGCTCATTAACCAAATCTGTTATTTTCCATTCAGAAGTTATTTAGCCCTCCTACAGCTAAAAACACTTTCTACTCTTGGACTCTTGCCTGCTTCTGGGTGTGTGTTTGCCAGATTCCCCAAATGCCGCACGTTCACAGGGACGAGAGGAGGCAGTACACTGCACAAGCGGGCAGCACAAGACCTCCGGGAAATGAGCAGGAGGAAACTACACATCCCGGCGTGCCCCGCTGGCGAGCACAATGGAGCCCTGTCGTCATCCGGCTGACGGGACTGCGCGTTCCGTGCGCGCCGCCGGCTTCCGGTCTGGATCCCGCCCCGGGCGGAGGGCCCTCCTGGCCCGGGAAAACTGCAATTCCCGGCATGCCCTGTCACGGGGCGCCTGCCTACGGGAAGTTCACGCGCCGGGGAGCGGGTTGGTTTAAAGCGCTGTTTTAGTTCCATGGAAACTGGCCCTCCTGCTGCCGGACAGAGCCACAGGCGGACAGACGGACTGTGGGGTGAGACTGCCGGGCCCGTTTCTGTTACCCCTGCTGTGGGCCTGCCAAATGAGGGAGGAAAGGCAGTAACTGCAATGAACATGAAACCTCTGACTCTAAACCCCAACTTGACATATTCACTGGACCCCAAGTCTATTTCCCTCTTCTTTAAACAGGGACGCTCCCTGGTGGATAGTAAAGCTGTTCTGCCCTTGCATCCACCCTTGCTTCTGGGGGCTCTCCTGACCTTGACACTTTTTTTTCCCCATGGCAGGATCGGGTGAGGGAAGTGAGGGTTTTCAGCTAACCATGAGACCTGTTTTTAATAAATAACCAAATAATAGATTGGCGTGTTTTAGTTTTCAAGTCAACTTCTTTGATGACCTGAACAGCAGATTCCTCAGTGATTGACTAAGAAGCTGTTTTGAGAACAAACCATGTATTTCACTGAAAAGCTTTATCCCCTGCCCACCATCAGCCTGTCCCACGCACCTCGATCTCATCTCCCATTCCTTAGGGTGAATTTTTCTATAAACCTCCTCACCCTTAGAGGCTGAGGGTCACGTTTGTTCTCCGTTTTTGTTTGCGAGTATTTTTCTCTCTCTGGAAGCCTGAGAGGCTCCAGTGTAGATCAGGTTCAGGTGGGTGTGAGTGATGATGCAAATCAAATTCTTACCCAAACATATATGTAGACTTTCTCTTTTTTTTTTTTTTTTTAGGAAAATAAATCAATGTGAGTTGTTTTCAATTTTGTTGCCCAATGTGCACACACCCTGTAAAGTAAATGTAGGCACTTTATACATTATCATAAGTACCTTAGGGAAATATCAGCAACACTATGACATTTCAACATGCACAAAAAAATTTTAGGTGGGACTCTGCATCCCATTCCAAATATGTGGGAAACTTGTATCCCATTTCCTGTTTTGTTTTTTCAAAAAATGGACTTTTGTTATATTTGTATTAGTATTCTGTGCTTGGCTTCTGATATAACTTAATATAGGCAGACCTTTATACTGTAACCGAATACCTGGGCCTAACAAGTTGCCACGGAAATTGCCCTCACCTACCTCTGGCACTGCTTGTCATTTCTTTTACCTCCTCCTACTTGTCTCTCCACAGACTATTGCCTGGGACTATTGTAAATCAGCTAGGAATGCTTTTGTCGCAAGCAACAGAAAAAAATGACTAACACCAAAAACCAAAAGTTTATTTTTCTTAAATAATAGCAGAGCTACTAGTTTTGCAAAAAAAAAAGAAAAGAAAAGAAAATGTCAGGTTAATTTGAGCTTCTCTGGTCTTTTCTTTGTGTTTCTCAGAAACTGGCAATCACTGGCCCTTTTTATGAGTGAGGTACTTCATGGCGGACTGAAAAAGAGCTCTCAGAGCTCTGAGCATCATATGGGGAAAGGAAAGGACAGGTGCCACCATTTCTGTCCTTTTTATCAGAAAAACAAAAGTCTGCCCAGAAGCTCCTTGCAAACTTCTGTCTAAAGTTTCATTGGCTGGAATGTGTCACATGGGTCTCCCAGCTGCAAGGGAGGCTGTGGATAGCCTCTTTTCAGCTTCTTTTAGAAAGGAGAAAAAGGAGCCAACCCTATCTGCCACAAACTCCATTAAACACCATTTCCATACTTTTTCTCCCCACCCAAGGCCTGGTTTATTTCTAGGTTGGCAGTAGCCAGAGAGCAGATGACAGAAAATGGAATGGAAGGGAAACCCATGTGGTGTTTCTCCATTGTTACCCCTCCATTTTCTCCCCACCCCGCACTATTGGTGGCTCCCCAACCCTAGCCCTGGTGTCATGGTAGCAGAATGAGCCCTAAGGTCTGTCTTAGAGGCTATTCCTACTGTTACCTGGGGAACTCTATTCTGGCCCATGTGGTAACGTGAGCAGGAGTCTCCAACTCTGGCCTTTTTTAGAAATGTAGATGAATCTTACTTCGAATCTTTGTATATCCAAAGGCTTGCTATCCACATCTGCCTTTGTCTTTCTCTTCAGGAACAACTGGAAAGATGAAAGGGAATTAATAGAAGAGAGCATCTTTACCCCATGTCCTTAAGCTGACTGTGAACAGAAAATTTGTTAAAGAATTCCAAAAGATTATGTGTGTCAGAAATGCATTCTGTTTGATAGAGGAGCACAAAAGAGAGAAAGCCTGGTCAGAAGTACTAAAATAAGAGTTAAGAGAAAATGTGTACCCTTTGACCTACATTACCCCATTTCCCCTCCCCCCAGACCCTATCAACCACAACTCTATTCTGTTTCTATGAACTTGGATTTGTTTGTTTAGATTCTACATATACGTGATACCACACAGTATTTTTCTTTTTGTTTTGTTTCACTTAGCATAATACCCTCCAGATTCACCCATGTTGTTGCAAATGGCAGGATTTCCTTCTTTTTTGTGGCTGACTAGTCCTGTGTGTGTGTGTGTGTGTGTGTGTGTGTGTGTGTGTGTGTGTGTGTGTGTGGACGTATGTACCTCATCTCCTTTATCCATTCATCCTTTAAAGGACATTTAGGTTGTTCCCATGTCTTGGCTATTGTGAATGATGCTGCAATTAACATGGCTGTGCAGGTATCTTACCTCTTCAATATACTGATTGCAGTTCCTTTGGATATATACCCAGAAGTGGAGCTGCTGGATCACATGAGTTCAATTTTAAATGTTCGGAGGAACCTCCATACTGTTTTCTATGGTGGCTGCACCAATCTAAATTTCCACTAGCAGTGTATGAGGTTTCTCTTTTCTCCACATCTTTACCAACATTTATTTCTTGTCTTTTTGATAATAGCTATTCTAACAGGGTAAGGTGATCATCATTGTGGTGTTTTTTTTTTATCATTGGGGTTTTGATTTGCATTCCCTGATGATTAGTGGTGTTGAGCACCTTTTCATGTACCTGTTGGCCGTTTGTATGTCTTCTTTGGAAAAATGTCTATTCAGATCCTTTGCCCATTTTTAAATCGGATTGTTTTTCTGTTGTTGAGTTGTATGAGTTCTTTATATGTTTTGGATATCAACCCCTTATCAAATATATCATTTGTGAATATTTTCTCCCATTCTGTAGGTTCCCTTTTCAAATAAGTTCTAAGGTTCTAATGTACAGCATGGTGACTATAGTCAATAATATGGTATCGTATACTTAAAAGTTGCTGAAAGTAGATCTTAAGTGTTCTTACCACACACACAAAAAAAGTTAACTGTGTTAATTATATGAGGTAATGAATGTGTTAATTATTTTGATCTTAGTGACCATTCTACATGTACACATATGTATACATCAAATCAGCATATTGTACACTTTATACAATTATATTTGTCAAGTATTCCTCAATAAAGTTTTTAAAAAAGTAAAGAGAGAAATAGGAAGGTCATTCTCTGAGACCTGTCAGTGAAAATAGAAGGTGATTGGAGAGCTATTTCAAAATGAAGAACTGTCCCCAGTGGTTATAGCAGTATTATATTGGCAAGAAGCTCAGCCTTTTCACAGCCCCTCACCGTGCTTCCTGGCCCCTTAAATCCTGCGCCAGTTTTAAGACTTAATTTCTGCTGTGGGTCCTGAGGACCACCTTCAGTGACTTACATCTGAGATAGTGCCCGCTTCTCAGTAACATAGTGTGTTACTAATATCCCAAGTAGGATCTTTGTGCACACGTTCCCATAGGAACACTATTGCTAGTGGTAATTAATGTTTACAGTCTAATTAGAATAGAACTGTCTGCACAGGACAGAGTTGCAGGAAAATATCCTTAAAGTTTCTACCAATGACCTTCTCATTGAACTTCGGGCACGCGATTCATTCAAATGTTGGGACTGCTTATAAGCTAGCTCTGCTTCTGTCCCTAATATCTGAAAGAGTACTCTCACTACTCCCATTTACTCTTACATGGTTTTGGGGGAGGAATCTGGAAATTTGATGTCAGTAACTATAAAAGAGTCTTTGCTATGAAGTTAAGTTTTCAAATTATTTTTTTAAATCACTGCTTCAGTATATTTGATAAATCTATTTTATGACAACTGCTCAGAGGTCCAAGTAGAGAATTTTTTTTTTTAGAACATTGGATAGGGAATATGTTAAAATGAAAATGGCTGATGATGACAAATGTAATAATTCCCTCAGCCAAGTAATAGGTCCTAGTGTGTATCTAATAATAGCAGATAGGGTAGACTAGATTATGATGCATGAGCAATCTCAGTGGCTTATAACAAAAGTTAATTGCACACTCACACTGGATGTCATAGACGGGTCATGGCTCTGGTTCATGTCATCTCCACTTTGGGATCTTGGCAAATGGATCAGGCTTTATCTGGGATGCTGCTCATCTGGTGGAGAGGGGAAGAGAAAGAGATGGTGAGCGATAAGTTGGCTTTTAAAGCTTCCACCCACATTTAATTGGCCAAAGCATGATACATGGCCATTCCTGAGCTCAACAGGACAGGGATGTATAACTCTTCCACAGGAAGGAGCAGTGACTATTTTGAACAATAATAGAACCTACTACACTAACATTGTGACTTTAATCTCAGGTGCATATGGAAACTGCAATGTCCAGACCGGTTGTCTCCCCAACCCACGTCAATGCTACAGCTTCTGAAACATTCACGGTACTTCAGCAAAGGATGAGAATAGTTGAAGAACAGACCAGTTCTCTGAGGGATGACCTAATAATGTTGGACTTCGGTGAAAAAAGGTAACAAGTGAAAAATTAACCAGATCTCTGTATGTTGAAGAACTTTGCTTCAGTGGTTATTAATAAGGAGTCACAGAGTGGATGGTTTGGCAGATGAAATAGGTATTCACAAAAGAATTGAGAGAGAACACTTTCCATTTGAACATTAATTAGAAAATTATTGCAAGATAAAGAGTTGTCATCCTGTGATAGAGCTACTACCTAAACTATTATCCTAAACAGATATTTGAAGTATATTAATTAGATGCACAAACTTTGATGTTCCACTTACCTTCAACACTTGATTAAAAACAAACATGTACTTTTTTGTGTAATTAGAAATAATTTTCATTCTTTTTTAAACCAAAAATAGACTTTGATATTAGTGAAGGTGAACACCTAAACTTGACTCATGCCATTAATATGATCTTCATTTTCTTGTCTCAGATTTATTATAAATTAAAAGGGAGGTTTTAAGTCTTAAAAAAACTCATAATTTAGAATGAGGTACTCAAAAAAGGATTGCTTCCCCCCTCCCCCCCAAGCTGCTAAAGACGTTATTGCCATTAAAAGTTGGATTGTCAATGGCCTGAGAAATCTGGGTGCATAAACAACCGATATAAAATGTACTGGTGTGATTTTTTTTTTTAAGTTACATATAGGCAATTACTTCGTTTTATTGCACGTCATAGATATTGCATTTTTTACAAATTGAGGGTAAGACAAAAACATTATAAGTCACTTTATTGCAGTATCCTGGAACCCAACTTGCAGTATCTCTGAGGTATGCCTCTATTTATTTCCTGAGTGTCTCTCACAAAGACCTAAAATTAGTATGGTTGATATAGCACCCATAAAATAAAGAACTCTTCAGCAGTTAAAGATTAAATTTGTACAAATGTTGAGATGCTGGAACAAAATAGGAATGTTTGTTTTGACCAGGTTTAAAAAATTTTTTAAAACGTGAATATTTTGTCTCCATGCTAACTTTAATTCTTAGTTCACCATTATAGAATTAGCATTTAACATGTTTAATGTATCACTTGTTTTTTTACATGCAAAAAGAAAAGCCTATAAAAATTCAGATTAAATGAATAGCCATTAAAAAGTGTGATCTTAACCCCTCCCACATTGGTCTCATCCTCTTTACCTAGTAGTGCTCTCTACATTTAAGTTTGGAGGGGCTAACAGCCGCATGTTAACTATAGAACCTAGTTTTTATTCTTAATGGAAATATTACATTGACTCAGTGGTTGGGATTAGCATAGTACCCATTGCATGGCATAATATTGTTATATTGGGATCTTTTTCCAGAGGCCAGTTTGAAACTCCAAAATGTTTAGAAGCACCTGGGAACCAGAACATCATTTGTCCTATCCAGAATGAAGTAATTTGTTCAGGAAAAACAGACATTTTGTGGAAGAACTGTGAGTTTCTGGTAAATCGAATGTGCCATCTGGAAAGCCTCATCCAGTCCTTGAAGATGAACATCTTTCATCTGCAAACTGAAAAGGATTTGAATCCACAGAAAAGAGGTACAGAAAGAAAAGAATCTTCAGAAATTTGGTCCCGTATAGGCACCTGATAAGTTTATGATTCTTTTCTTTTCCTAACCTTTCAACTATTCAATGACCCTCCTGTGCTGTCTGGTAGCTTTTCTGAGGGATCAACTGAATACAATACAGGAGGAGCACTCCAAGGACCTGAAGCTGTTGCATCTTGAAGTGATGAATTTGCGCCAGCAACTGAGAGATGTAAAGGAGGAAGATGACAAGGCACAAGATGAAGTGCAAAGGTTGACTGCCACTCTGGAGATGGCCTCAGAGACAAAGGTTTGAGTCCAGAGTTCTGAAATACAAATTCACTGTTATGTGTTAGCTGGAGGAGGCAACAGACCCATAAAACTGATTTTTAAAAATAGACGATGTTGATGTGAGGATTCTTGACATTTGCAGTGCATCTGCACTGATAACCTAAACCATTGTTTGCTGTCAGTGATTATTTATAGAGCCCTTACCCTGTACACATGACTCTGAGGGTCCAGAGATATGAAGTAGTTTGTGCTCTTCAAGAGCTTATATGCTAGGTGGGAGAACAAGGCATAGCATGAAAAACTTAATAGAGAAAAAATAAGAGCATAAAAAATATTGAAGGATAGTACAGGGCAGTAAGTGAATATTTGAAGAGTAAGTATTTTGTGTTTGGTTGGGTTTAAGAGAGTGTATACTCTACCTAGAATAGATGAGGGTAGGCTTCAAGTAAGATAGGACATGAGTTGGACCTTTAGAAGACACAGTACAGAAGTGAGGACATTTCAAGGAGCACACACAGAGGCAGCAAAGAGTAAAGACTAGGAAAATAAATTAACGATTTTGTTTTCCTGCCATAGGCCAGACAGTATAATAGATGTTCAGCATGTTATTTTGTTTAATCTTCGTAATACCTCATGACATAGGATATTATTGTCCCCATTTTAATGATTAGAATACCTTCTCTAGGATCACACTCCCCTGTCTTCTTCCTGTAACCCAGGGTTGAACCTAGATCCTTCCACTGGGTGCAGCCAGAGGAAATGCATAAACCAGCCTGACAGGAGTAAGGATTTGTTTGTGGGAAATACGTTGGAAATTAGCTAGGGATCACATTATAGAGGATCTCAAAATCAAGAACAGTCAGTAGCTGGGCTTCATTCTATGTGGGGTGATTAAGGTTTTTGATAAGGCAGTGACATAATGAAAACACAAAAACTAATCTGGCAGTAGTGTAGAGTATTGATTATAGGAGGGGAGGTTGGAGGCGAGGAAAAGAATTAGGAATCCATTGCATTATTTGAGGCATGCACCTTATCTGACTTAGGGTTGTGGAATTTTAAAAAGAAAGAGGGGTATTCTGTGAAGAAAGAGATTGCTAGACTATGGTACTAGATTGGGGCTGAAGGTAAGAAGGAAGGCAAAGGTGAGTCTGAGGTTTTACATCTTTGGTGCCACTAATAAGAATATAAAAGAGAATAAATAGTGAAATCTGTTTTTTATCCTCAACTCCTCTAAGTGTGGATAATCTTTGAGGCTAGAAGAAATATAGTACTTAAAAAAAATAGAAATATACCCTGTCAAAAAATTTCTATCGGTTACTAATGTCTCCTCTGATTATTGAATTTTACATAGGAAGTGAATGTATCTAATCCCTTTTTATGATCTAAAAGGAAAAATGGTAGCAGTCATGATTCAAAGTAATAAAATAACTCCTTTTAAAATATCTCATTGTAATAGTGACTTCCGAGTCACAATAAGAAGTATTTATAACTATATTCGGAATAGCATTTATATAGGTTGCCAGCTAAAAAGTCTAGATAGACAGTTTCTCCCTATCGTTTCAGATTATTTAGAACCTTTCTCCTTCTACTTTTAGAAGAAGGCAGCCATTGTTGAAGAGGAACTGAAGACCACAAAACGAAAAATGAATCTTAAAATTCAGGAGGTAAGATAAAAAGATGCTGGAGGGTGGAGGGGGCGTTGAAATTACAGAGAAGTCAAGAAAGAATGAACAGGAACCTTTGAAGCAGAAAATATGTGACTGTGTCATCAGAAGGTTTTAAAAATATGCCACGCGAAATTCAAATGAAAATGGCCACCCTCATTGGCATAAGACTTCCTTTTCCCTCAATACGGCCATAAAATCAAAAATTTAATATTAAAAAAAATGCTATCTGAGCCAGGAAGGAAGTAGTTACAACAAAACTCATGGGGTTGCCCATATTCTAGAGTTAGGTGAACACCTTCATACAAAGACCTTTTAAACTAAAGTTGTGTTGAAAGTAAAAAGCTTTTAATAAGCCTGCTCATTTAATTTTTACCTCGAAAAACCTTCATTTCAGCCTAAATTTTAGTAGATAACAGATTGGGAATTGTGAAGTAGGTGGCTGCTAAAAGTTGTTGGACTAAAAATTTGCAGCTGAAAATAGTGGAAGAGTCAGAAAAATTACTCACTCAATATATCCTGACAGTGGCCCAAAACCCTCAATATTCCCTGGCAGAATAATAACCAATGTTAGTCCAAATCAGAAGGGTAAATTTATATTTAAAATATTTTGTTATACAAACCAGAGAAGCAGATATACTTTTTAGGAGAATTCTCATGCAAAGTTATTTTTTAAATTATGAGTTTTAGTGTTTAAGGTGGTAAGTATAGCTCTCTGGAAAATTCTCTTATGTACTTTGCCAGTAATTACCAATAAAAGTATGACTGTTCATAGTTAAAATGTATTAAGTTTAGCACATTTAAATTTTTTAGATATCTTAATAGACTTTTTTTAGAGAAGTTTTAAATTTATAGAAAACCCTCACAAAAAACAGAATTGCCATAAACCCACTGTCCCCACCCCCACCGTTTTCCCTATTATTAATATACTGCATTGGAGTGGTACATTTGTTACATCCTATGAACCAGTATTGATTGATATATCATAATTAGCTAAATAAGTCCACGGTTTATAATAAGCTTCACTTTTTGTTCATTAACAATATCATACAGAATAGTTTCACTGCCCTAAAAATGCTCTGTGCTCCATAGATACGTCCCTCCCCACTGGCAACCAGTGATAGGTTTTCACTATCTCTATAGTTTTGTTATGGTTGGAATCATTCATATGTAGGTTTTTGTGTGGACATGTTTTCAATTCATTTGGATAAATACCTAGGAGCATGATTGCTGTAACATACGGGAAACTTACGTTTAGCTTTGTAAGAAAGCGACAACCTGTCTTACAAAATGGCTGTATTATTTTGCATTCACACCAGCAATGCATGAGAGTTCCTGTTGCTCCACAGCCTCATCAGCATTTGTTGTCAGTGTTTTGAAATGTTGTCATTCTAACTGGCGTGTAGTGGTATGTTGTTTTAGTTTTAAATTCCACAATGACATATGATAGTGAACATCTTTTTACATCTTGTTTCCCACCTGTGTATCTTATTTGGTGAAGTATCTTAGGTCTTTTGCTCATTTTGTAACTGGGTTTGTTTTCTTATGCTGAGTTTTTTGTATATTTTGGATACCAGTTCTTTATCAAATATGTGTTTTGCAGATTTTTTCCCCTGTCTGTAGCTTATCTTTGCATTCTTGTAATAGTGTCTTTTCTAGAGCAGAACCTTTTAATTTTAATGAAGTCCAGCTTACCCATTTTTTCTTTCAGGAATTGTACTATTGGTGTTATATCTAAAAAGTCATCACCAAACCCAAGGTCACCAAGGCTTTTCTCCTATGTTACCAAGTTTTATAGTTTTGCATTTTACATTTATGATACATTTTGAATTAATTTTTGTGAAAGGTATGAGATCTATATCTAGATTCTTTGTATGTGTTTATACCTACTTGTTCCATACCATTTGTTTAAAAGTCTATCATTAATTGCCATTTTTTACTAGGGAAGTCTTAGTTCTGAATGCTGTGATAAAATCTTGAACTTTCATTGAACTCTGTATTTCAAGGACCTACAGAAGGACTATCCTAGTCACGAGGCAATTTGAGAGTACTGGAGCAGGAAGGATGTATTAATTTGCTAGGGTACAGACTGGATGGCTTAAACAACAAAAATTATTTCTCATATTTCTGGAGGTTTGAAGTTCAAAATTAAAATGTCTGGAGGGTTTGGTTTCTTGTGAGGCCTCTTTACTTGGCTTGCAGATGGCTGCCTTCTCACTGTTTCTTCACATGCTCTTTTCTTTGTGCGCACACATCCCTGGTGTCGCTGTATGTGTCCCAATTTCTTCCCCTTATAAGGATACCAGTGAGGTTGGATTAGAGCCCAGCCTCATTATAACTTAGTCACCTCTTTAACGGCCCTTTCTGCAAATGCAGTCACATTTTGAGATGCTGGGGTTAGGGTTTCAACATATGAATTTGGGGACTACAACTCAGTCCATAATAGGGCACTATACAAAGACAGAATAAATATTGTATATATTTTCCTGAGATAAATATATATATAGTTATATATATTATATATATATATATATATATTATGTTATATATTATATGTATTTTATATACATATATAAAATCTGGTTCTGATGAACATGAAATAGATTTACTGATTGCCTTTAACAATTCTTCAGAAATGAATACCTCAGTAGTATATTATCAAAAAAATATTTCCTTCACAAAGCACTTAAATTAAGTCATGAGACAATTATATAATTTGATCTAGAACCTAGAAAGTGTTAAGCTACTCTATATTATACAGTAATTATAATCTGATAGTTTTAGTATTAGATTATTATAAAATAGAGCCAAAAAAAAGACTATAGCTCATTCTTAAATAACATTGTAATTCTTAGCTGATCATTGAATGAGAAAGGAATTTCTAAACTTGAAAAGAGGGAACAGAATCATAAAAACCTCAAAAGACTTGACCACATAAGAATTAAAATTTTCTACATGTAAAAAAAGACAAAAAAAACCCCAAAACTAATAAAACATAACAAAACTAGACATAAAGGTAATAATCTTCCATTTTAAAGAACTTGAAATTGACTTTAAAAAAACAAACAAACAAACAAAAAATAAGTGGGCAAAGAATAAGAACTAACAGTTCAGAAGATATATAAAGAGCTAATAACCATATTAGAAAATGTTTACTCTCACTAGTAACCAAAGAAATGAAAAACTGTTAAGATGTTATTTTTCATTTACTTAGATTAGCAAAGATTTAAGAAAATGATGATACATAGTTCTAATGGAATTTATTCCGATACTACTGATAGGCTCAAATTGGAAGGAAAATTACAATATGTATCAAAAGTTTAAAAAGTGTTTATACCTTTAACCTATGGATTCCTCTTGTGGGAATTTACCCTAAGGAAATAATTAGAACTACAATGAAAGATTTATTCACAAGCATGGTCAGCAGAACAGTATTTAGTGAAAAACTGGAAAAACCTAAATGTTCAATATTAGGAGTATAATTAAGAATGTCATAGAATATTTCCAAAATGGGCTCATATAGCAGTTCCATTCCAACACATTTTTTTTAATCTCTTTCAACTTTTTAAAAACACTTAAAGCATAAAATATATCATCCGTAGAGAAAACATATAACTTATATAAAGTGTACTCTTATGTCATCTTCACTGGGGTTTAAAAATAGAATTTCTTTTAATTTAACATCACTACATAAAAGGAATAACATTCTGAAATTCCCATTTTAAGTTGAAAAGGATCTCCTTACCTCATGATAAAATACTCTTCCTTTTACCTCTTTCTGACTCATGTTATAGTCACTTATTGAGAGAAATAAGGTAGTATACCCCAATTCTTGAGTGTCAGTAGTGTCTGCTATTTAACAGTTACTTCAGGTAGTTACAAAACAGTCACCAGGATGTAAAGTACATCATAAGGAATATAGTCAATAATATTGTAATAACAATGGATGGAGACGGGTGGGTACCAGATTTATTGGGGTGATCATTTCATAAGTTATGTAAATGTATAATCACTACATTATACACCTGAAACTAATATTATATGTCGTGTAATTGAAAAGTAAAAAAATTATTTTAAAAAAAATGCCCAGGCATAGAAGGGTAGAGAAAAAAACAAAACAGTTACTTCATTATTTGTTTAGACCTTTAAATTCCAAAACAATATTGAAACAGCTTTCAGAGGTATGTTTATAATACTACAGGATGAAAAATATATAGATGAAGAAATAAAAATATAGGAAAATAAGATTTAAAAAAATAAAGACAGAAAATACATATAGTAAGTTATGATATTAGTATTTTTCGAACTTCTTATTTACAACAATCCGTTGTAAGACATATATTTTACACTGCAACACTGTACACAGGTATGTAAATACAGACATTTCACGAAGCAGTACTTATCCTTACTTATTATTTGCATCCCGATATTTCCTTTCTATTCTTTGTTTTTCCTTTTTCGAGTGCTGCTTGCAACTTAGTAATGGTTCTTGACCCACAATTTGGAAACAGATTTACATAGTAGGACAAAGGCAACAAATTTGACTGTATTTCTTAGAAGGTTATCCATTAGGGAAAAACAAAAGCATGCTTCTGAGTAGTCATAAACGAATGAAGAATGTTTGGGGTGAGGTGGCATGTCTAGTAAGCTTTCCACAGTGACTTGGATCTTTGTTAAACTGCTGTGATGGTACCTTGGTCTTGCCTAACTGCATTGTTGCTCTGCAGCTAAGGAGACAGCTGTCTCAAGAGAAGTACCTGAGGGAATCCCTTGAGAAATCGGGATCAGCGATGCTACTCAGAATACAGGAAATGGGGTCAACAGTGGAGGTGGAACAGAAACAGGTAGAGAGATTTTTTTTCTCTCAGTTATATCAGGGTAGTGAAACTGAAAGAGAAAAGGTTATAATTTTACTTATAAGCCTATAGTTTTGATAATTTCCTCTAGATTTATTAAATTATTTACTTTTCTTTAGTAAATATTTTAATGCAAAATAAGAAAGGATCTGATGAAATTTAGTCTAGCAGTCTTAATTTATGAATGAGGGAGCTAAGGACCAGAGAGGTTAATTTGCCTCAGGCTTTGTAGAGGTGACCAGCTTAGCTCCTGGGACAGTATCCTTCCCCCTACACCATATAATCTCTGTTATAGGGGTTGATCTTGGAAAGAATTGCCCTGGTCTCCTGTTATATGTATGTGATATGAATAGAAAATAAAGATTAAACTGAGTTAATACTTGAAGCAAAGAACACTAATAAGCAATGAGAGATATGTTTACATGGCTGTTTTCAGTTCATTATTTATTTTGGTATATTTGCCTTCATCATAGTCGTTATTTGGAGTACCTACATGTAATTTAGAATATTTTAAATTCTGAGTACCCAAGGCAATTAGTAATTCCAAATCCTAATACCTGTAATTGGATTTCATCATCTTTTTAACTTAATTATGATTTAATTAATAATTAATAACTTTATTATTTAACTCATTATTTTAACTTATTTTAATGGCTGTCCTTCACAGTTGAATTAGAAAAAGGATTATACTTAAGGAATTTGTAAATGATCCTTTATTGCTATAACTTGCACTGCCAATATAGTTATCCACTAGTCACATATGGCTATTTAAATTAGTTAAAATTAAGTTAAAAATTCAGTTTCTCACTCTGGCTACATTTCAAGTGCTTGACAGTCACTTGTGACTGGTGACTGCGGTGTTGGAGAGCGCCTAGAAAGCTCTGTTGGATGACACTGCTATAAGACACCACACTTTGTTGAGATCTTTAACTGTAACGTATAGATAAACTGCCCTTCTCCCTCCAGCAATGTTAAGATTGGAAAATCTGCCTCACACATGTGCTATAAGGTAGTTTAGTAAAAGTCTTTACCTTACAGAAAAGGAGTTTTTCTTATGCAATTTCAGGTACAAATTTTGCAGCAAAACTGCCTCGCCCTACGCAGCTCTATGCAGAGCACCCAAGAACTACTGACACAGGAGCAACAAAAAAAAGGAGAGTTGGAGACTGCCATCTCACAGCTGAAGTCTGATCTAAGTATGAAAATAGATGCTAGAAATTACTCATTTACTAGTTTTTTGAGATTTAATGTAAAAACTCCTAAGATCCCAAATTCTTGAAGTGTGTAGTGTCACCGGTATTTCCACAGGCCAGAATGTAAAAAATTGCCGATTTCCTTTCTACCTGTGGCACTGAGAAAAGAGAATGTTGGTAATGAAATAGAATTTGATCCTCTTAATTGAAAACTATTCTTTATTTAGATTTTTTTTTAGGTTTATTTAAGTGTTTGTAGATTTGGGAACATTTGATTTCTAGGAATTTAGATTGAATATTGGATAGTAGAATGTTAATAAGGAAATAATGCCATTAATCCTTGCTAACCTACTGATTCTACCTATCACGTCAGACTCTCCATTCTTCATGTTACCCATATATTTTGGTTCACCTGTATTTATAGAAATGGGTGGTTGTAAGGTACCTTAGAGCTTAGATTAATCTCTTCATTTTACAGATGAGTAAGCAGAGTCCTTAGAGGTGACAGAACTAGGAAATGGAAGAGTCTAGGCTTGAACCCAGTTGCTCAGAGTCATGCTGCTTCTAACCCAATCAGCCTTCATCATATTACTGTTTTTAATATGTAGTTGCAAAGCAGTTTTCAGATAGTCTCAACTATAGAGATCACAATTACAGTGCAGTGCCGCACATATGAATAACACTTCATGGTTTACTCAGAGCTTTCACATAAATGATCTCATGTAATATGCAAAACTATTCGTATTTCCCAGTTACAAAAGGAATAAATGGCAAAATGAGGCCTGAACCCGGATCTCCTAACTCTAAGCCCAGCATTCTTGCTAGTGTGCCTTCTCTGCTCGCTGGCTGCAGTGGGGTCAGGGAATACCAAAAGGGAAATGAAAATATAAAAAATAAAATAGAGCAATCCATTTCATGTTCCCGCTTACTGATTTTAGCAGAAAGTACTCTTTTTCATTATTGTTGAGTAGTGAATTATTCTCGGAAGTTCTCATTGATAATGCCCCAAGATAATTTTCTGTCTTCCTATGATTGCATGGCTGTAAAAATACATTACACTTTAAGGTGCTGCCACAACACCTCATTTGAGCCTTACACCAACCTTTTGAGAAAGATAAGAAAATATACCCCATTCTACTGAAGAATAAAAAGATCTGTATCTGAGGACTCACAGTAAATAGGATACGCGCTGGGACTAAAACACAAATCTTCCTATTAGTTGGCCTTCTGATTAAGTGATTTTTTAATGTCACTTTCTCATTGGATTTATGCTTGATTTTTGAATTTTGTAAAGAATATATGGGGCCAGCCCAGTGGCGCGATGGTTAAGAGCTTGCTTGGGATGCCAGAGGGCCCCGGTTCGGATCCCACATATGAGGGCCAGTGACACTGCCCTCTACAGCTAAGATGCTGAACAACAGCTCAACCTGGAGCTGGGCTGCCGTGAGTCGCCGGCGACAGCGTGGGCTGCAGTCCCTGTGGCAGTGGATTGCCATGGGCTACCGTGTGTGGCCAGTAGCCAGCGTGAGCGGCCAGCAGCCGCAGTGAGCTGCCGTCCAGAAGCCGGCGACTGATCTGCCTCGCCAGAGAAGAGCGCAATGATGGTGCCAACTTGGGCCAGTGAAGCAACGTCCTCCACAACTAGATTGAAGAACAAAAAACGACAACAACTTGTCTGTTCCCCTTTCCCCAATTCCCCAGCACTGTTCCCATCCCCCCAATTCCCCAATAAAAATCTTAAAAAAAAAAAAGAATATATGGAAGACCATTAGAAAAATAGATTAAAATAGCAGTAATTCAAACATGAGGAAAAGGAAGCCTGTCTGAATACCAACTATATGTACGTATGTGCTTCATATTAATAGACTTTTTACATGCATGCGATTTTATTACTTTAAGGTACAAATAGTTATGCTAACTAGGTTAATAAAAGGGATGCCTTTAGATATTTGCTTCAAAGAATTTAGAAATGTAATTGTTGACTGTGTTTATTAGTAATAAACATGTAACTCACTCCCCCCACACACTAATTAAAGTGATTAAAATGTTCTCCCAAGTAAGATAAACACTTTCATTCTTACTTTGATTAGGAGAATTTTCAAAGCAGATCTTATTGTGATCCTTTACATATTTTAAATTAGAATTTACTCTATTTTAGATGAGTCTTAGATGCAGATGTTCAAAAAGTATAATTTTTCTGTGTGTATCCTACATACAATGTGAGCTTTTATGTGTTTTATAATTTTCTGGCTTTAGAATACTTAAGTAAAACAAAACTAATATATTTTTATGAATTTTCTATGAAGCCAAAACATTACTCAGAAACTAATTTACATCTTTGGCTACCAATGCACAATGCCTGCCAAACTGTTCCTCTGTTTCTGTCTTTGGTTTTCATTTCACTGTGTAGTTTCAAATCTTTTTTTTCCCACACAAAATCCTCCTCCTGAACTCCAGGTAGTCTATTACTGCCAACTAAACATCTATGTTTGGATGCCTTGCAGATATCAAATCACATGACAAAAACTTAAATATTCTAGCCCTTATTCATTCTATGCTCCATACCTGCTATCTCCTATTCAGTTGAAGAATCCACCATCCACCCGGCTGCCCAAGTCCGAAGGCCAGATACTTTCCTCGACTCCTCTATTCCCTTTATCCCACCAGTCAGCCACCAAGTCCTGACAGTTACCCCTGCTTGTTATTTCACAACTGTGTTTTTCTTCTGCATCCCCATTGTCATTACCATAGAGCCAGCTCTCGTTGTTTTACACTTCTCGTTCCTGCAACAGCCACTAAACTGATCACCCTGTCTTTATTGAGCCTCTGTTAGAGTCTAACAAAGTTTTGATTGTGCGCCTCTCCAGCTTAAAAATCTCTCAGCGATTCATTATCGTCTATGCATCGAGTAAAATGGAACCTCCTTTACCATAGCACATGACTCTGAATTCATTTCTTGGTAATTCCCTGATTTAGTTTCTTGTCTATAAAAATATAATAGAAATACTTATATTCTCCTTATTTCCACAAAATGCAGACCAAAAAAAAAGAAAGAAAAAGAAAAATCAAAGCTTCTCTCAGAAAACCATACCTTGCAATTTCAATGTAGTTGTACTAAATTATTATTATCATAGTTATGTGGACTTTTTTGTTTTTAGTTTGTAGAGAGGACCTCATTTCCAAGTTGGTAGAAGAAAATAAGGTAAGTTTTGAGGTTGGAGAGTGCAGAGGTGTTCTTCCCTCTCTTTACTAAGTAATATTTCCTCACACATGTTGGTTTGCAGTCCTTCTGATTCTCCTAAAATCTTTATTAAAAAGAAAAGTTTTAGTGTAAATGAGTTGTATATTCAGAACTGTTGTCAACCAGGTATTAGGGAAGAAATCTTTTCATGTGGTTATTACAGCTTGAAAAAGGTGGATGGCAAAAATAGAGACTCATTTGCATTTTATGCCTATTACAAACTAATTGTTATAAAGAAACTTTTTATTAAAATGTTAGAAATATTGACTACTTTTTGGTGGTGATGGTTGCATAATGTGAATGTACTTAATGCCACTGAACTTAACATGTAAACATAACACTTAAATATTTTTAAGTGAATTGTACACTTAAAATGGTTACAATGGTAAATATTATGTGGTATCTACTGAGATGATCATATAGGTTTTATCCTTTATTTTGTTAATGTGATGTATCACATTAGTTGATTTGTGGATGTTGAACCATCCTTGCATCCCTAGGATGAATCCCATTTCATCATGATATATAATCCTTTTAATGTATTGTTGAATCTGGTTTGCTAATATTTTTTTGAGAATTTTTGCATCTATGTTCATCAAGGATATTGGCCTGTAATTTTCTTTTTTTGTAATATCTATATCTGGTTTTGGTGCCAGAGTAATGCTGGCTTCATAAAATGTGTTTGGAAGCATTCCTACCTCTTCAATTTTTTGAAATAGTTTAAGAAGGATAGGTATTAATTCTTCTATGAATATTTGGTAGAATTTACCTGTAAAGCCATCTGGTTCTGGACTTTGATTTGTTGGGAGTTTTTTTAAATTACTGCTTTAATTTCATTGCTAGTAATTGGTCTGTTTAGATTTTGTATTTCTTCTTGTTTCAGTCTTGGAAGTTTATATACTTCTAGAAATTTATTCATTTCGTTTAGATTGTCGAATTTGTTGGTATATAATTGTTCATAGTATTTAATGATTCTTTGTACCCGTGGTATCAGTTGTACCTGCTTTTCATTTATGATTTTATTTATTTAGGCTCTCTCTTTTTTTCTTGATGAGTTTGGCTAAAGGTTTGTCTTTTTTATTTATCTTTTCAAAGAACCAGCTCTTGGTTTTATTGATCCTTTCTATTGTTTTTTAAAATTGCTATTTCATTTATTTCCACTTTGATCTTAGCTATTTTATTATTTCTGTTTACTTTAGGGGTTATTTTGTTGTTCTTTTTCTAGTTCCTTTAGGTGGATAGTTATATTATTTGGGATTTTTCTTGTTTCTTGAGGTAGGCCTGTATAGCTATGAACTTCGCTCTTAGAACTGCTTTTGCTGCATCCCACAAATTTTGAAAAGTTGTGTTTTCATTTTCATTTTTTCAAGACCGTTTTTGATTTCTTGTTTGAGTCCCTCTTTGATCCATTGGTTGTTTAATGTTATTTAGTTTCCACATATTTGTGTTTTTTCTTGTTTTCTTCCTGTAGTTGATTTCTAGTTTCATGCTATTGTGGTTGGAAAAGATGCTTGATATGATTTCAATCTTCTTTAATTTATTGAGGCATTTTTGTGGCCTAATATGTGTTCTGTCCTGGAGAATGTTCCATGTGCATTGAAAAAAAAAGTGTATTATACAGGTTTTTGATGAAATGTCCTATAAATTGTCTATTTTAAAATGTCTATTAAGTTGATATCATCTAATGTGACATTTAAGGCCATTATTTCCTTATTAATTTTGTGTCTGGGTGATGTATCTATTGATGTGAGTGGGATACTAAAATCCCCTACTATTATTGCATTACTGTAGATTTCTCCATTTATATTAATAATTGTTTTATATATTTAGGTACTCCTATGTTGGGTGTATAGATATTTACAATTGTTATATCCTCTTCTTGGGTTAACCCCTTCATAGTTATATAATGTCCTTTGTCTTTTTTTACATTTTTTTATTTAAAGTTTAGTTTGTCTGATATACTCATAAGGATTGCTACTCCAGCTGACTTTTCATTTTTATTTGCATGAAACATCTTTTTCTATCTCTTTACTTTCAGCCTGTATGTGTCTTGAAGTGAGTCTCTTGGAAGCAGCATATAGAAGGCTCATACTTTTTTTTGTCCATTCAGTTACCCAATGTCTTTTTATTGGAGCATTAAATCTATTTACATTTAGAGTAATTAAGATAAGTATATATTTATTGCCACTTTGTTAATTGTTTTTATAATACTTTTTTTTAGCTGAGCCATCCTGCCGTTGGCAGCTCAGCGGCAGCTCAGCTCCGGCAGAGAATCAAACCGCTGTTGCTCAGAGCTCATACACGAGCAAGCTGTTAATCAACTGAGCCACTCGGCCGGCCCATTAGGTTGTTTTTATAGTTGTCCTCTTGTTCCTTTCTTTTTTTGATCTCTTCCCTTGTGATTTCCTGTTTTTCTTTAGTGTTGTGTTTAGGTTCCTTTCTCTTTATTATTTGCATATTTTTTGTAGCTTTTGGTTTGTGGTTACCATGAGGTTTATGTATATCATTCTTTATCTATAGCAGTCTATTTTATGCTGATAGGCATTTAAGTTTGAATATGTTCTATAAGGACTGCAGTATTACTACCCCCGCCATGCTTTATCTTATTGATGTCATAGTTTAGATCTTTTTGTGTTGTAGATCTCCTAACTACTTATAGTTTGAGTTGAGTTTGTTTTCTCTTAACCTTTGTAGGATCTTCTTAAATGTGTGATTTGCTGTATTTACTGAATATTTAGCTTTACCTGTAAGGTTTTTCCCTTCCTCATATATTCTTATTTCTGGTGATGGCCTTTCCTTTTCTACTTAAAGAAAACCCTTTAACATTGCTTGTAAAGCTGGCTTAATGGTGAGGAAGTCCCTTAACTTTTTGCTTGTCTGGGACAGAACAGGTATTTTGATAGAGATACATGTAAAGTATCTCTTACATATAAAAAAGAGATAATATTATTTTTTTCCTATAGACTGTGCAGATGTCTTTCAACAAGGAACATGAAGAAAATGCATATTTGAGGTCTGAAATAATATCCCTTCGTGAAAAAGCACAGGTAAGTCTTCCCATTTCTCTAGAATTTTAGATGTTATTTAATTTTGTTCAATCAAGGAACCAAGAACCAAGATGAATTCTGATTATATAAATTCATACTGTTGCCGTCATCCAAATTTTAATTTCCCTAAGCTCTTACTTCATCTCTTCATCTATGAAATATTATCAAATTGACTACATTTCTCATTTCACTCTCCAAATCATACGACACATAAATTTATGAGCTATATTGCTAAATCATGCACTAGCCATGATATCTTGCCATTGTTTGCTTTCTGATTTGTTCCTTAAATACATACCTTTTCTTTCCCCTTATAAATTTATCATCAGTTCAATGCCCAGGGCTATATTTTTTACTTTCTTTGTATCTTCTCTGGCAAATCACACTGTAGGAACCTAATAAATGCTTGCTGGATTTTGGAATTATGTGTAACCATTTTCTATGGGTTAGTGGTTCTCCAGTTTAACTGATGTTTCATATATATGCATGTATATGGAGAAGAGTCACCAAATATGCAGACAAACAAGTTATTTCTCATAGGGCCCTATGAGATAGTGTTGATCATTTAAAAACATTTTGTTAGTACAATTTGATTACTTTAATGTTAGGATCATAGTGTTGCTGTACTCTCTTTATAACAATTACAAAATAAATGTGTTCTTTTATAAAATAATAACAATAACTACTACTATTACTGTACTAATAGTAACATTTACTGAACCCATCCTACATTCCTGGCACAATTCTAAGCACCTTATGTTACTAACCATTGTAATCCTCGCAGTAGAACTGTTATAGAAACTATTATTATTCTCATTTTAAAGATAAAGAAGTTGACATCCCGAGAGGTTTAATAATAGCCAATAAGTGACAGAGTTGGAATTTGGGCTCTGACAGTCTGGCTCCAAAGAAAATCAGCTATTTCTTTTCAAGGAGCAAGAGTTCTCCTCTGTCTTACCTCCCAGAAATCCCTTGATGAATAGTTTGTACATATGGTTATAACTTTAAAATGCCCCTAAATGTGTTCCTAACTACTGTACTACATATACCACTTAGGATGCTTTCCACATAATCTTTCATTTATCTTTCCTGTCTTATTCCTTTTAATAGTGTTTCTCTGTTGATCCTTCAGCTAGTTGTCCCCCATCCTTGAAGAACTTGTTCATTAAAACATAAGATCCTTACCAAATATACTTTGCAAAAATAACCGATAATTAAGATAAATATTTTCCACAATACAAATTCCAAAATAGCAAAAGGTCAAGAGAAGTATAAAGTAACTACATGTATGATAGATCTGTTGCACAAAAGATTTGTGTTTTAATTTGGAAGATTAATTTTGTGAAATGGCCCAGTCATCTATATTTTACTTTTTATGAATACATAATCAGTGATGAAGGAGCTTAAATATTTTGTGTTATCAGCTAAACAATTCTGATTGCTTACCATCCAATTTTAGGAATGGATTTCTACATTATTGGCCAGCCTTCTACACTGTATTAATAAATTCTATTCTGTAGATGTCTTGCTCTGTTTGACCAGTGTTAAAAATGTGAAGAACGGAAGATCAGTAAACTGCTGAATGCTTTGATTGCTCCACCAACTAACAAATTTCTCCTTCTAATTTAGGATTATTTAAGGTGTTGACTCCAAATATTTGAAAGTATTTTATAATCTAATGATATATCAATTGGGGATAGGTTAAATAAATTAGGTTGACATATTTAGTGAAATACTATGCAGTCATCAAAAATAATGATAAATAAAAATAATTATTTATTGGAGAGATCTAGGATTTGCTGTATATGTTATCTTAGGATTTGAATGGCCAACTGACTAGTAAGTGTTCAGAGCTGAACAGCATGTTTCAGGAAGTTAGTATGCAAAATGCCAAAATTATTGCTGACCATCAAGCCATTCTGCAGATATTCATTTAATACCAGTCAGTTTCTGGTAGAGTCAACAGGAAACCTCCTTGGCTAAGAAATCAGGAAATACACATGGCCAACTGATAAATATTTTAACAATGAAGTTCAAGAAATTAACTGAATTTTTTTTTTTGGTGGTTTTCAATTTTCATCAGAGGGGTCATTTGGTCTTACACTCAGTGCTTTCTTAATGGTTTCTTCTCAAATATCATTACTCTAGGAAAACTAATTACCTGTCTCATTATTTATAGAATCGTGGAGAACACTTATGACTGACCCTAAAGTATTTACCTTTTCCCCAAACATCTATGCTTTCCCATTTTTCTTATTCCTTCTGCTGAGAATGGACTTTACTCCATCTTCAACTCTTTGAATTCTATTCATTCTTTAAGACTTACTTTCATCAGGATGCTTTATCACTCCACAGAAGGGATCAGTTTTCTGTTTCAATTAATGCTTCTGGGACAGTAATCAGACAATAATGATAAGAGCTCCCATTTTTTTGGAGCATACTTAACCATACTTAACACCAAGCATTGTGTTAAGGATTGTACATATACTGTATTACCTCCTTTAATTTTAGCAGTCATTATGTAAAGGCATAGTTATTATCCTCATTTGAACAGATAAGGAAAATGAGATTTAGAGAAGTTAATCAACTTGCTGGAATTTATCTAGCTAGTAAGGGGTAGAGCTGGATTTAAACCTAGGTCTGATACTAGAGCCAGTGTTTTTAATCATATGTTATGCTGCTTCTCTTTTCTGCATTTCAAGTAGTAATTTACGTGCATGGCTCATTTCTTGTATAACATTGTGAGTTTCATAGAGAACGGGCATTGTCTTATATATCTTTGCTATTTCCTATGGTGCTAATCATCTTTTGTACATAACAAGTACTCAATAAATATTTTTCATTAATTCAACAAACATTTAGTGTTTACTCTGTACAGATATGGTGCTAGGTCTAGATTGGATTATAGTGGTGAACAATACAAAATCCCTACTTTCATGGAACTTACAATTTAGTAGACTGAATAAAGTCACATATGTAAGCAGACTAAAAATTGTCACAAACATTTTAAAACTCTGGAATATATACAAATGGGATTCCATTTTACCAAGTGTGAAGGTTTGCTTTGCAATCAAATATTGTTAAAATACAAGTGTTCATTTAAAATGTGTTTACAAAAATAATTAATATGTACTACATTTGCAAAACTTTATAAATTGTATATAGAGAGGGTATGTATAAAAATGTTGTTTTGATAATTCCAAAATGGTGAACCAGAGAAGATAAACTGTGCAAAACAATTGCTGTAACAGTATCTGAGTGCAATTTCAGATATTCTCAAAAGAATTCACACCAAATTATTAAACATGATTATCCTTGGGAGTAGGATTATTTGGAAGAGGTGAGGGGAGATACAGATGGAGGGGTCTTTTCACTTTATATTTAATTCATTGATATTGTTTTACTTTTTGAAATAAAATATGTATTATATTGAAATTTTAAAGTACCAAAATTAATTGTAATATAAATTTTATATTTAAAATATGTTCATTTTAGGAGTTTTATACATTTTGTAGTAAGCTGGGTAGACAATGCATCTTGATTGTTGTCTAGTAGAAGTATAAAATCATAGCATTATGATCAAGTCAGGGTGGAGACAAAGCTGGGCATTAAAATAAAATTTTTTTAAAAGAAATAATTTGTCTTTTGTAAGCTAATTCAGTATCTTAGATCAGTTATTTTGAATGATAACCCATCAAATGACTTTCTGGCAGTTCAGCTTTTAATATTACTTCTAACGCTCAGGTAGAACAGAAAATGATGACACAGACATTTCAAAAACAAAACTTACTCTTGGATGCAGCCCACTCCAGTATCTCAAGTGAGCTACAGACTGTTCAGAATGAGAAAACTCAACTCCAAGCACATCTGTAAGTAAATCGTGGGCAACTTCTTATGCATCTTTTATTGTTGCAGTTGTATTTCTTATCTTTAATGAAAACGTTTAATCCTGCATTTACAGTGCCAGTTGCAAAAAGACCCTGCCCTCAGCTAACTAGTTTTGTTAGAACATTTTGATAACTGCTCTGAGGCAGGAGATATATCCTATGAGAACACTTAGCCTTTCTGTTAAAGAGCTCTCATTTAGCTTTCATATCTCCTTATTCTCTTCTTACAGGGACCATTTAATCCTTGAGCATAACCAGTATATCCAGAAAGTACAGGATGCTGAAAAGAGGACAGCAATGCAAAAAGAGCTGCTAGAATCAACTATTGCAAGATTGAAAGGTGAATTGGAAGCATCAAGGCAAGAGAAGACGTCTGTGCTGGAAGAGAATGAAAGGCTTCAGAGAGAGGTAGGTAAAGACAGAATTATGTTAGCTCCCGGTTGGGGTGGTCATCTTATTTAAAATTGTATTCTAAATGCAACAGACAAGAAATACAACCCAGATGCAGTTTGTCTGATTTGCCCATTAAAGAAATCTTTAGGTGGCTAATCTATGCCTTTTAGCATGGAAAGTAGTCTATGCCAAATAGCATATACCCCTATACAGCATTAGTGGATGTTAACTAATAGTTCACACATCCTCTTTAAGGGGTCAGATTTTAAAAATGGATTTCCCTGAAGGAGGGGAACAATGTAGGCTAAGGGGGAGCAGCCCTATCTTCCGAGTTAGGAAGGAACCAGCAGAGTCTGACATGCAGACGTGTCTTTCTAATTTCAGGGCTATTTGTGAAGTCTGCTCTGCCTCAGAGACTCCCTGAGTGGCCCCTTTTCTGAGAGGATGTGCTATCTCTGCAGTGTAGGTATTAATTGATATGCAGGGTGTGTCTGCTATAGGAGAGCCTGTCAGCTGCTTTCACATTGACCCATTTATTTTTCTTTTCCCTCTTTGGGCAGGTTAATAAAACAGAGAAAGAAATAGCACAAGAAAAATGCAATTTGGAAACGGAATTAGCTAAAAGCAAGGTATTCCATGTTTGATTTATTTCACTCTATTTCATTTCTATCACTGCCTTCTGTACCACCTTATCTTAATGAGGAGATGGGTTATTTTGTTGAATACCAAAACATGGGGGAATAGAGAAGCCACAAAGCCAGATGCAACTGAGAACACTCTAGTTTCTGCAGCATGAGGCTGCTTCTGGGGAATGTTGGCTTGAGGAGAACCCTTTTCTGGGTTCTCAAAAGACAGAATGGCCAGAGAAACAAATACAGTTCTTATTAAAATCAAATTTAAAAAAAAAACGCTCTTTAAAACATTGCTACTTGCATTTCAAAATTTGAAGACAGTGTCGATTGTGTATCACTGGTATCTAGAGAATATATCTAGATCATCAAGGAGAATCAGCCTACCCCAGACCATAAATCCAGCAACAGATGTTGATACAGTCATCAAGCCTTGACTGTTTCTTGGCTTCTGGCTCAACTAAACAGCATTTGTATTACCATATATATGTGAACTTCTAATTTAAGAATTGGAGCAGGAGGAAAGCTAAGCCCAAGCTCAAATACCATTCACCTAGCTGCCCCTGTGGTTTAGTCACTCTTATCAAGTTAACTGAAAATAGTCCACCCCAAAAATCATTGAATGAAACTAACTTCCTGTGGCAAGGACTTTTACTGGTGTCGATTTAGTCTCAAATATGCTTTATAAAATTTGGAAAAATTGGTGACTACTATTAAATTCATTAGTGCTTTTTGCTTAAAAAGGTTAGCAAATATTCCATGGCTAAGGCAAATGCTGTATGTCTGTGATTTTAAAATAGCATTATTATTTTGTTTGTCTGATTTCAGTCTTAAGATAGTCCAAGTGTAAGTTGATGGGACTGAAAGATACTTGTTCAATCAGGAGGTTGTATTAGGGCAAATGATAATGCTTATACAGAGTCCTACTTTTTTGGTCTAAGTGATATTTTTTTAAAATGCATATTTTTTGTAAAGCTATGTTGTTTTTTAATCAGGCTTTATGAGTTATCATTTACATACAGTGAAATTCACCCTTTTTTTCGTATACAGTTCTGTGAGTTTTAACAAACACGTGCAATAATGTAACCACCACCACAATCAAAATGTAGAATATTTCTATCTCCCCAAAAAGCTCCTTGTGCCCCTTTGTAATCTTCCTCCACTCACATCCCCTGGCAACCACTAATCTGTTTTTCAGTCCCTGTAGTTACATCTTTTGCAGAATATCATGTAAATGGAATCATGCAATATGTAGCATTTTAAGCCTGGCTTCTTTGATATAGCATAAGGCATTTGACATTCATCCATGTTGTTGTATCATAGCTTATGTTCAATATATGGATGTCTCACAGTTTCTTTCCCATTTGCCAATTGAAGGACGTTTGAGTTGTTTCCAGATTTTGGCAATTATGAATAGAGCCTGTATAAATATTCACAGATGAACATTTATTTTTATTTCTCTTGAGTAAATATCAGGAGATGGATTTCTGGATCCTATGGTAAATATATGTTTGACATAATAACAAACTACTCAACTGTTTTCCAAAAGATCTGTATCATCTTGCATTCCCACCAATAATATATGAGTTCCAGTTTCTCTATATTCTCACCAGCACTTGGTATTGTCAGTTCTTTTAGTTGTAGCCATTCTAACTGGTGTGTAGTGATAACTATTGTGGCTTAATTTGCATTTCTCCAATGATTAATAATGAGTGTCTTTTCATCTGCTTATTTTCCATCCACAACTTGAATTGTCTCTTCAAGTCTTTTAACCATTTTTAATTCAGCTTGTTTACTTACTATTAATTTTTCAGAGATTTTAAAATGTTGTCTTATATTAAGTAAAAAAAATTCCATTTGTATATAAAGAAATCTTTTGTCAGGAATATGTTTTACATATATTTTCTTCCATTGTATGCTTTATCTTTTCATGCTCTTTCAAAGAGCAGAAGTTTTATATTTTGATGAAGTTTATCAATTTTTAAAATTCTGTGGATCACATTTTTTGTGTTATATCTAAGAAATTTTTACTTAACCTAAGCACAAAGATTTTCTCCTTTGTTCTTCTCTAGAAGTTTTATAGTTTTAGGTTTTACATTAGGTACATGATCCTGTTCAAGTTAATTTTTTTATGTCATTCAAAGTACAGTTCAAGGTTCATGCTATTGTCAGGTGAATGTCTGTTCTAGCACCTTTTATTTTTGAGATATAATTAATATACCATAAATTCTCCTTCTTTAAATATATAACTCAGTGGCTTCTTAGTATATTCACAAATTTGTGCAAATATCACTATCTAATTCTAGATCCTTTTTATCACTCCACAAAGAAACCCAGTACCCATTAGCAGTCACTCCCTATTCGCTCCTACCCCCAGCCCCTGGCAACTACTATTTTCCTTTCAGTCTCTGGATTTATCTATTCTGCACATTTCATATAAATAGAATCAAACAATACATAGCCTTCCAGATCTGGCTGCTTTCACTTAGCATGATGCTTTCCAGGTTTATCCATATTGTAGCATTTGTCAGTACTTCCTTCTATTTATGTCTGAATAATATTTTATTGTATAAATATACCATACTTTGTTTATCCATTCATCAGTAGATAGACATTCAGACTGTTTCTACTTGTTGGCTATTAAGAACAACACAATGAATGTTTGCACAATTTTTTGGTGAGCATATGTTTTAAATTTTTGTTGTTATATGCCTAGGAGTGAAACTAGTGGGTCATGTGATGTCTGTTTATAGTTTTCAGAAACTTCCAAAGTTTTACAAAGTGACTGTACCATTTTACAACGTGTGAGGATTCCAATATCTCCACATCCTCACTTACACGTGTTATTGTCTGCTTTAAAAAAAAAAATCCTCACACAAATAGCAGTCACTACCCTTATAGTTCAGCTTTGTTCCAGCAAAATGTTAAATAAAGGATGTGTATGATTCCAAGATTTTCCAAGACTGGGCTCCCCACCACTTAGATGTGAATACACTTGCTTTGAAGCTAAAAAAGTTCTGGACCCGCCTCAATAGCTTTTGCTGCTTGTTCTTTTGTTTCAAATTCCTCAAAGGCAAATCCCTTTGGACTTATAATGTGGTATACTTATATAAACAACACTGCCACATTTCCCCAACACCCTTTCAATCCATCTGTAATTAACATTTTTGGGAAGTAACTCCTATGATAAATTTTAAACAGTATTAAATATGTAAGGATGCTTACTTAATAAGGTCAATAAATTTTTACTTGAATATTTAAAAAATGAAAGATAAAATTTATTCTACCCATCTTAGTGGGTGTGAAGTATCTCACTTTTTTTTTTAATTGGGGTGCAGTTCACATAATATAAAATCAACCATTTTAAAGTGAATACTACAGTGGCATTTAGACATTCACAATGTTGTGCTATACCACTTATGTCTAGTTCCAAAATATTTTCATCACCCCAAAAGGAAACTTGCCTTTCTTTAAGCAATTACTCCTTATTCCCTCTTTCCTCAGCCTCTGACAACCACCAGTCTGCATTCTGACTCTTGAGATTTACCTGTTCTGGGTATTTCATACAATATAATCATACAGTATGTGAACTTTTGTGTCTGGCTTCACTTAGCATGTTTTTTGAGGTTCATTCACATTACGATATGTAATACTTCATTCCTTTTAATGGCCAAGTAATATTTATTGTGTATATATAATTTTGACTTTTTAAAAGATTTTTATTTATACAGTTGACTCTTGAACAACATGGGTTTGAACTGCACGGGTCCAATTATACATGGATCTTTTCCAATAAATACTGTACTGTTTTTGACCTGTGGTTGGAAGTGTACAGATGACAGAGGGCCAATTATATGCATTGATCTGTGCCGTTTTATTTAGGGGACCTGAGCAAATGTGGATTTTGATATCCACAGGTTTCTTGGAACCAATACTCTGCAGATACTGAGAGACAACTTAAGTTTTGGGGGGAGTCAAAGATATATGAGTACATGGATTTTTTACTGTGCAGGGGGTTGGTGCTTTTAACCCCTGCATATACCACAATTTATATCTTCATCTATTGATGGACATTTGCACTGTCTCCACCTTTTGGCTGTGGTGATTAGTGCTACCATAAACGTGTATGCATGTATTTGTTTGAATACTTGTTTTCAATTCTTTGGTATATGTTCCTAGGAGTGGAATTACACTAGCAATGTACAAGGGTTCCAATTACTCCACAGTCTCAGCACATAATTTTCATTTTTTGATTATAGCTGTCTTAGTGGGTGTGAAAGTGGTGTCTCACTTGATTTGCATTTCTCTAATGATTAATGATGCTGATCTTTTTATATGTGCTTGTTGACCATTTGTATATTTTCTTTGGAGACATGTCTATTTAGATCTTTGGTCTTATTTAAAACTGGGTTAAGTTGTAAGAGTTTTTCATATGTTTTGGACAGCAGACCCTCATCAAATGTGATTTGCAGATATTTTCTCTCATTCTATGGATTGTCTTTTTAAAGTTTTATATTTTTATGATATAAATAAACCATTTTATCTAGTTTTTTCTTTGGTTGCTTGTGCTTTAGGTGTCACATCTGAGAAACCATTGCCTAGTCCAAGGTCACAAAGATTTATTCCTGTTTTTTATTCTGAGAATTTTACAGTTTTACATATTTAGGTCCATTTAGAGTTAATGTTATATATATATATATGCGCTTCATGTTCTGTTTCTCCATTATGGCCTTTTGTATTAAGTAGATATTTCTAGTACACTATTTTAATTCCCTTGGCCTTTCTTTCACTATATGTTTTTGATTTATAGGTAGCAAAAAGAGTTACAAGTAAAAAATACATGTTTATATATCTTTTATATGTACCTATGTTACTTTCTTTACTTTTTATTTCTTTATATGTTAATGTGGATTCAGTTATTATCTAGTGCCCTTTTATTTTCACCTGAAGAACTCCCTTTAGTATTTCTTATAAGGCATATTTTCTAGCCCCACAGTCCAGACCCCACCAAAGGGTGGACCCTGGTAAATTATCCCACACAACTGTGGTTGAGATTAGAAAGAATTGACATTTTAGCAATATTGAATCTTCTAATACATGACTATGAATTCTCTCTCAATTTTATTTAGGGTTTTTTTTTTTAATTTTATCACTACTTTGTTATTTTCAGCATGTAAAATATTGGACATTTTTTTTAGATTTGTATCTAAGAATTTCATGGGTTTTTTAGTTATAAGTAGTTCTTTAAGAAATGTCAGTTTCAAGATGTTTTTTGCTAGTTTATAGAAATACAATTGATTTGATGTTGTAGCCTTCTACCTTACTAAACACACTTATTCTAGCATTTTTTTTTGTAGGTTCTTTTGGATTTCCTTTGTAGACAATCATGTCCGTTGTAAATAGAGACAGTTTAATTTCTCCCTTTCCAACCTCTATGCCTTTTATTACTTTTTATTGCTATGGCCTCCTATATAATATTGCATAGGAATGGTAAAAGCAGATATCCTTGTGTTTTTCCCAATCTTAGGGATAATATATTGTCTTTCACCATTAGGATTGATATTAGTTATAGGTTTTTTATAGATATACTTTATCAGGTAGAGATGGTCTCCTTTCATTTTTAATTTGCTGAGTTTTTATCATGAATCAATGACGAATTTGGGGAAATGCTTTTTCTGCATCTAGTGAAATGTTCATGTGGCTTTCCTCATGTAGTCTATTGATGTACATTATGCAAATTGATTTTGAATGTTGAACAAGCTGAGTATTACTGGGACAAACTTCACTTCGTCCTGATTTATTATCCTTTTTATATATTGCTGGATTCATTTTGCTAATATTTTGTGGAAGATTTTTGCATCTATATTTATAAGCTTGAATTAATATTTAAATAAATACCAAGTATCAGAAGGACTTCCATTTCTGGTAAATGTGAGCTATGTAATTTATAATAACCCTCCTGCTGAAGAGAGCTACAAAAGCTGAAAAAATGTAAAAGAAAAGAAAAAAAATTTTTTTTAATTATCATAGAGCTATGAGATTGAAAATCCCCAAATATAAATACAGGGGAATATGTTCATAAGATGCCTTCTATTTTATAGTTACAAATGTCATTTTTAAAATAAAGTAATATTTTTGGATCTGGCATAGATATATTTATCTATTTATAGATAATAAATGGATTCCTCTTCTCCTTTTGTTTTTCAAAGGCAGACATAACTGCATTAACACAGAGCCTGCAGACCCTAGAGGAAAAGAATAAGCACCTGGCAGATCAGATGGCTTCCCTAGGACCTCAGCAAGACACTTCTGATTACCATGGGGTGGGTATAAAAAGGTCAGTCAAAGGTAGGAATTAATGACTAATGAGTTAAAAAAAAATCAGAGGTCAGGAAATGGGTATTTTCATTTGTTTGTGTTTTAATAATTACAATAAGTCCTGAATAATTCAGACAATATGTAGCAGAAACCCCTACAGCATTCGAATGATAAAGGATTTAAGAAAACAAGAATTTAAGGCAGCTTAAACATCTGCCTACACAGATAGATTATCTATAAAACTGAAAAGCACAAATATTTCCAATGTTTTAAAAACATTTTCTCTATCATAAATTATGAGGAAGAAACTTGTATTTTTTTCCTATCTGACAGTTTCCTCCACTAAGTAAGTTTGATTTCTAAAAGCTATTTAATAAGGTCAATGAATTACAAATAAATGGTAGAATTCTTAAAATATCTTCAAGTGAAAGGGGATTTAAAGAGATAATCAGTCTGTTAAGCAACTAAATTTCCTATGTGCTTTTGAATACTTGAAAAAGAATTAGTTATTGCTTCTGTAACATGTAAATGATCTTTGAAAATTCCATAGAAGGCTCTAATGTGAGTCCATCTTAATCTGAGCTAAATTCTCTCAAACTGTGTCATAAGCTGCTTATTACTTCAACTATGAAAAATTACATAGAGTAAGTATAAATCCTTTTACATTTTCTTAGCTTTAGAGCCAGACTGCCTAGGTTTCAGTATTGGCTGTGATCTTGGGTGCAGTCCTTAACATCTCTGAGCCTTAGTTTCTTAATCTGTCAAAATGAGGATAATAATACTATTATTCTTTGGTTGTTTGAGTGTTAAGTAAGTTAATACATGTTAAGCATGTAGCTAACATTTATTGAATTCTTGGTATCTGAACTGACCCAGGAAAAAAAGCCTTTAAGTTCCTACTTGGAGGAACAAGACACATTAGCTCTCATCCCTGGTGCTATCTCAGACTAACTCTCCCTCCTCTGAGATTAAAGATTCATCCATGTCCTTAGCTTCTTGGCCAGCCCTCAGCTGAGCTTATCCACCTCTCTAGTTTTGGTCCCTCTGAAAGACCACATCTCAGCCTGCCTGATTTCTTTCATGTCCCCAATGCCAGTGAGCAGACCTGTGGCCTTTCCTTATTATTGACTTTGACAGGTTTTGCAGGTGATTTGACCAAAGTTGATTCTTGCCTGCAAACCACACCTCTTGATTAAGGTCTCCTAGTGATGACCCACACCTCAACTCCAGCTTGCAGATCTACGTGTCCACATAGACTCTTCTCTAACCAATCTTGCCTGGAAGTATTTCAGTTGGCTGTAGGAGTCTGAGGAATGAGGTCGAGATTTCAGGATTTTGTTTTTTCATCTTAGCTATATCATTAAACCTATTGCAATTCAATGCTGGCAGTATAGTTTTCTTCTTTGAGAGTTAACACTTGAAATTCTCAATCAAAGCTACCTTCTAATTGAACCTCTTATTGATTTTTGGAGATACACATATGAGTGTGTGTTGTGTATGTCCCCCCCCACACTCCCTCCTTCCCTCTGCCCATCCCACACACACACACAGATTTGAACTCAGACAGTCCTGGTTACAACCCTTGGCTCCATTTAGTGTGTGACCTGAGCAGGTTCTAAACGTCTATGACCTTGATTGCCAAGGTGATCTTCCTGTGAGGTTCCACAGCACACTGTACATAACTGTGTCAGAATAATTACTATTGGGTAGTCAGAAAAGTCATGACACATGTTTGCAATAGATGGCACTAGTTCATTTTTGGAAGCACTAGAGTCATTCACATCTATGTTATTGCTATGTCATTTGACAGGTGACAGTTCTACCTTCATTCTAAAAAAAAATTGAGCAATTTGGTTGAGTTTTGGAGATTTTACAAGTTAAAGATGGAAGACCAAACTGCATTTTTGCCATATTTTAATGTTTTACTTCCATAAAGGGAAGAACGCGCATCAAGCTTGTGAAAAGTTGCATAAAGTTTACGGTGACAATGCTCTACAAGAACGTCAGTGCCCACGATGACTCACAAAATTCCGTGCTGGTGATTTTAATCTCAACGACACTCCTCAGTCAGGGAGGCCCACCGAGGTTGATGACGACAAAATAAAGGCATTGATCAAGTCAAACCCACATTACATGACACGAGAGATTGCAGAAACATTGAACATCCATCATTCAAGCGTTCATGACAACCTGAAAAAGCTGGGATACATAAGCAAGCTCAATATTTGGGTTCCGCATGAACTGTAAGAAGTTTATTTGACAGTGTATATAAACATCTGCAATATGCTCATTAAACATGAGGAAAACAATCCTTTTTTGAAGCGACTAATAACTGGTGATGAGAAGTGGATTGTTTACAACAATGTGGTGTACAAATACTCTTGGTCCCGACGTGATTTGCCTTAAATGACATCGAAGGCAGACATTCATCAGAGGAAGGTTATGCTCTCAGTGTGGTGGGATTTTAAAGGTGTCATGTTTTTCGAGCTCCTCCCAAGGAACCAAACAATTCGAATGTGTACTGTCAGCAATTAGACAGTTTGAATAAATCCATCATCCAGAAACGTCCAGAGCTTGTTAATTGTAAAGGAACTGTGTTCCATCATGACAACGCGAGACCACACACAAGTTTGATCACCCGTCAAAAATGATTGAAGCTTGGATGGGATATGTTGCCACCCCCACCATACTCGCCTGACCTTGCGCCATCAGACTTCCACTTGTTTTTCTCTCTTCAAAACTCCTTGCATGGTATAACGTTCAATTCAGATGAGGCTGTAAATCAGCACCTTGTTCAGTTTTTTGCCAATAAAGACAGGTCCTTCTATGAACGAGGAATTATGAAGCTCACTGAAAGATGGCAAAAGGTTATCGAACAAAATGGGCAATATATCATTGATTGATCTTTGTTCTTTATATGAATAAATGATGACTTTTGAAAATCATAGACAAAATACATCATGACTTTTCTGACAACCCAATACATCAATTAGAAATTGACCTGAATATGCATCTGTCGTCACTCTCTTTTAATGGAAGAACAGTAGTTACTAATCTTTATATTCCCTTGCCTAGCATAGTGCCTAATACATAACAGGTGTTTAAGAAGAACTGATTGAGTAGAATACAAAGATGGTCCTCTCCATCTTGCCAGACTGAGGATTAAATGTCATATTGTGTGTAAAGTGCCCTCCACAAGGCCTAGCATACAGTATCTCATAAATATTATCCTATTTATTTTCCTCACACTTCCTAATTCTAGGTTTATTTTTACCATTTCAGCCTTTAATGATGGTATAACATGAGTCCATTACCACAGAACCTCAGTGAGAAAAGCTGCAGTAGCAAATTGTCTTCCTCTCTTTTTCTTTTTTTATGTTTTTATCTCCTTTACCTTTATGAGATATTGAAATGTATAGTGCCTTATTCTGCGTAGGGATTACCATTTCCTGCTTCTGTCTGTTAGAAATTTTACTCATAGTTTTGTATCCTTTTGTCCTTTTGTTTCAGATAGAATAACCTCCTTCAGTATTTCCTGTAATGCAGGCTTTGTGGTGGAAAATTCCCTCAGCTTCTGTATATCTGGAAAGGTCTTTATTCCCTTTTCATATCTAAAGGATAACTTTGCTGGATATGTTCTTGGCTGGTAATTTCCCTCTTTCAGTAGTTTGTATATTTGATTCCACTCTCTCCTGGCTTATAGAGTCTCTGGTAAAAAAGCTGATGATGATCTAATGGGCTTCCCTTTGTAGGTTACCGTCTTTTCCTTGGCTGCCTTGAGAATTCTTCCTTTGTCATTGATTTTTTTACAGCTTCCATATGTGCCTTGGAGAAGGCCTGTTGGGATTGAGGTAATTAAGTGTTCTGTTTGCTCCTTGGATTCGAGGATTGAGTTCTTTCCATAGGTTTGGGAAGTTCTTGTTAATCATTTGTTAGAATAGACTCTCTGTGCCCCTCTCCTTCTCCTCTCCTAATGGTATTCCCGTTATTCTTATGTTGCTCTTTCTGATGGAGTCAGATAGCTCTTGCAGAGTTCTTTCATTTCTTTTAACTCTCAAGTCTCTCCCTTCTATGTGCATCACTTCCAGATTTCTGTCTTCGATATCACTAATTTTTTCCTCTATCTGGTCAGTTGTATTTCCTAAGCTCACTATTTAATTTTTCATCCCTTATATTGAGTTCTTCAGCTCCAGAATCTCTATTTGGTTCTTTTTTAAGATTTCATTCTCTTTGGTAAAATGTTGATTTTGTTTGTTGATTTTATTTCTGAGTTCATTAAACTGCCTATTTGAGTTTTCTTGCATCTCGTTGAGAACTGCAATCTTGAATTTTGTCATTTAAGTCACATATTTCCATGTCTTTAAGTTGATTTTCTGGAGATTTTTCATTTTCTTTCTGAGCTGCCTTTTTACCTTGGTTATTCAGAGTAATAAATGAATTGTTTCTCTTCCTGGGCATTTATGAAATGATTTCTGCAGTAACTTGATATGAAGAGGTCTTTCTTTTGTTTTCCAGTAGGTAGCACTGGAGCGTTTTAGTTTCTCTTGCCCTGTTCCAGCTTCTTGCGGTGGTGGAAGATTTCCTGGGGAGGGGGGCGTCTCTTGTGACCAGGTCAGCTCTGTCTCAGGGCACCACCCCTGTAGGAGGTTGTGGTGGGTGATGGGGTTCTGAGTCTCTGAAATCCAGTGCTGCCCCTGAAGCCAGATGCAGAGCTGTGTGCTTCAGAGCCCTGGATGCACCCACTGTGATCAGCTGTGAAAGGTGGGGGTGGGGTAGACTGGGATAGGTGGTTGGTGTGTTTGAGGCTTTGTTCTTCTCTGAGTAGTGGCAACTGCCAGACCACAGCTGCCTCGAACCTATAGCTCCTCCTTTGTCACTGGAATTAGCTGCACCATGTGCATCTGCCACTCAGGAACTGTCTCTCCAGTTCTCAGGATTGTAGATATTCTGCTCTTTAATCTGACACTCATTTTTTCTGGGGCCCGCTGCTAACACTGGGAGGGTGTGGGAGAAGCCAGCTCTGGGAGGATGAGGGGAGGCAGCCAGGCTCCGTGGCTTTGTTTACTGCCTGGCAGTGAGGACAGTTAGACCACAGTTGTAGCACTTCTGTACTCAGTCTTTGCCCTGAGGCCTCTGCCCCAATCGCTGTTCAGCCATATTATATGTTGGTCACTCAGGCAGGATTGTTCCGGGCCACAAATAGTGCCCCTGCAGTCTCAATCCTCCCCTCTCCCGGGACTGCAGTGAGCTCCGGGCCATGTTGGTTGCTCCTGTCTCTGCACTTCTCCCTCCCATCCTTCCCTGTTCACCCCAATTTGCCGACCTTCATATGTTTCAATGTGCAGGTCTCTCAGATGTGTTTGTGTGTTGCATAGCGAATCCTTTGTTGAATTATAACTGTTCAACTTGTAATTTCAAAGGGAGAGATCAAGAGGGACCCTTCATGCGGCCATGTTTCTGGCATCACTCGATTCTAGCCTTCTATTTTTTGAGAGCAGTCTACATTTCCCTTAAGCTATTTTGAAAACAATACTTTATTGGTCTGTATGCTTTAAAAAATATTTTCCTTTGTCTTAGTGGGAACAACACATAGAGTTTTTGTTTCATCTTTAAAAAAAACCCAATGTAGGCATATGTATATTATGCATGAAATATTGCTCTGACAGACAAATAATTAGATGAGCATAATAGTACATAACACTGATACCTAATATTGGGTATTCATTTTTATATAAAATGTGCATAATTTTAGGGTAGATGGTATGCAAGGACTAATAATAATTCTCTGGCTTTTTCTATGTTTCTATCAAGCCTAGAATGTCTACAATGGCCTAATTCTTTGTGTGAAGGGAACTACAAAGGAGAAAACAATCCAGACTAGTATGTCCTCTTGTAGAACATATGTTCTCATGAAAATATTTTTGAACAGAGGAAAAAATGAGTTGTATGTTATTATATAGTAATCTAGTTTGGAATGCGTTTTTGCTTTTACTTGGAAACAAGTGTGTTGGCTTCACAAATCTTGAAATAAAGTGCACTACAAAGTAATGAGTAAAGAATAGCAATAACTATGTCAGAAATAGTGAGGGATAGCTCATATAAATTAATATCCCTAATATGTGATTTCATTTTATCAACTTCCCCCAAGTTGAACATAAAAAAGATGTCTAAATTATTTGGCTTTAAGTGATTAAAAGACCCTCTATTCTATTACTCACAGATCAAGCAACTATAAGCCAGAAATATTCAATTATGTCAATATTTACCACGAGTTTAACTCCAGATTCACTGCAGATTATCCATAGTGCAGCTGGTAGGCCCGAGTGATTAAGAAATTGTGTTCTCAGTCACATTTGCTTGTGTCTATATTATCCCCACAGTTGATTTGTGAAGATGAGTGACATATGGCAAATATCAATATTTCCTGTTATTAAAATATAAAACTGAAATTGACTGTGGAGGGTGAATTTTCCATATTCAATCACTAATATTGTTCTTGAAGTACCAATAAGGCCCAAAATTCAATCAAAAGAACTGTATTAATTCTTATTTCTTCTGATAAAGTTTGAGGAAAAAGACATGGGGGGAAAATGTCATTAAAGGCTGTTTGAATGATGAGAATATGTAATTTCATGAAATATAGAGCCTTCAGTAATGTTTGTCCCAGAAAACACTATCTTGAGTGTTTGATCAGTGAGTTTCTGACAACTGTTTCTTTTGGGATTTTTGCAGAGATTTTAAAACTTGTCTTTTACTATGGTAACAAGTATCTCCAACTGTCCGAATGGTTGTGATTATCTGCACCTCCCATTTTCTTCAAGTCTATAATCCTCAAACTGTGTATCTGTAACCACTGATGCAACCACGCCACATCTGGGTTGGATCACAACCACAAGGAATAATTAATATAACAAAAATAGAATAAACAAAGAAGAGCAAACTCTAGGACCCTTGAGGCACTCATAGTTTCATTAGCCATCTCCCTACATGTTGCCTCTAGCTAGCACTGTGATTGACCAGGGAAAGAATAAGAGGCAGTAGTAGCAAATAAATGTGAATACTGGTTTCATTACTATAGAATTAGTACTGGTGTAAATACTTGTTTGAAAAGGAAAATGATTGTTCCCTTCTATGCCTAGAGATGCTACTGATCCCTGTGTTTGCTTTACCAGCTCGCCCGACAGCAGGTGGAAATGGTCTTGGGAAAGATTACTGAGAGTAAAAATAAACTGGCCTATGAAAAGGGAAAACTCCAGGTATGAGATTTTATTTTCTGATTTTTGTTCTCTAATTTTTAAATGTCAGCGGTCAAACTAAATACTGCCAGATTTTGAGAGGACCCAGCTCTGTCATTCACTAATTCTATAGCTTTGGCCAAGCCTTTGAGCCTCCATGAGTTTTTACCACATTAAAATTTGGGTGGGCTCTGTTCATATACCTATCCCCAAATGATAATTTTCTTTAAAGACAAAGATGTGCATAGCCATTTTTATGAGGTAGTTTTAAAATATAATTCAGCATATAATTCCATTTATTCCACTTTTATAATTCTGTCAGTAAAAACACAAGTCTCCTCCTTACACATTAACAATTCTAATTATCTATATTCAAAAAGGTTTTGAATGCTCGATACCACAATTCCTTTAAAATGGGAATTTCTTACCCACAAAGTTCCACTGTTATATTCGTGAGTCATAATTTGGAGTATCCATAAGCAATAGAAATCAAGTGGGTTATATCTGTACATGTAAATAGATATAGCCTACTTTTAGCTGTTGAAATAGCTACGTATTTCAGTTGAAATACCATTCTTTGCATGATTAGAAAAATTTAGGATTCCTTTTTACAAGTTTTAAGGACTCTGATTTTTTGCAAAACTCACATCTTTATTTTTCCTTTTGGAGTATATAAATATAAATATATAGAGAGATATCTACATATAGGTATAAATAAATATAGATATAGATATTATTAATGAGACTTATTTTATTATTCTTCATTTTTTTCCCTAGATAAAAGTTAAACAGCTAGAAGAACAGCTACATTCTTTTACTGAAACTTGCTCACAAAATGACCATCTACGCAAGTTGAATAAGGCTCTAGAGGGCAAATATACTCAGGTGTGATTAATACCTACTGATTGCTGTGAAACTGTTTTAATGAAATTAATGCCTTTCTTCCCACCTTATCATACAAGCCCAGAAAGATGAATATTCTCTCATTTGACTCAATCAACAAGCATTTTTTAAATACCCACTATGTACACCATTCTGCTAAGCCATAGAGGAATTCATAAAGATGCCTAAAGCAGGATTGCAACATTCACCTTGCTTCTGCTCTAACTGGGGGCTTAGGAATATGCTCAATAAACTTTATTGTAGAATAGAAAGTTATTCCTTTCTGAAACAAAATAGATTGTATTATGATCATTCATGGGGAGCACATTATGATGGAAGTATTAAAAAATGCTTTCATAGGGGAAGTGGTTTTTTTATTTGAACCTTTGTAAACTTTTGGCAAACATGAAGAACAAGTATCTTTGGTTTTGGAATTATAGGCAAGCTCAGAACTCAGTACCAACAAGACATACCTACAACAGACAGCGCAATTGAAAGAGGTATTAGTAGAACAGGTGCTTACTTGTCAGCATGGTGGCTACTGAGATTGAAACCTTTTGTAGGTCACGTAACAGTTTCACAAATGAATAGAGCAAGTTAGAGAAACAAATTATATAAAACACTTTGTGAGGAGAATAAGCCAAGAATGTGTTACAGAAAATGATTCATTTCAATGATTTACAAATTTACCATGTATGCAAGTTTTAAAATCCTTAACACTCAGTGTAAGCATGTTGTGTAACTTCTGTATCTATAACATTTGTATATGTATATATCCTTGGTACCCAGGGAACCAGAATGTATGTCCAAATGGAATACTGTGAGGGTTCTAACCATCTGATTGTACTGGTAAAGGGAGCCTCAATAGATCCTCTCTCCGACAGAGAATTTAAGGTCTACTTCACTAGGACATACTTTACAGTGTGATTTCTGGAACATATTTTCACATATTTTCCATCGCAGCTTCATTTAGAACATTGTGTTGTTTTCTTAGTAAAGGGGCCACTCTTTGAAAAATAACTCTAGGTTTAGTTGATTTTACTGTTTTAATTGGTGATGCCTCCAAGAAGAAGGAAATCTCCAGAGAGGCCTGTGTCTTCAAAATTCGTTGAAAGTTGTAGACCCAGTATTAAGGAAAGAACTTCATCAGTTGCTTTACCCAGCGTTATTCCAAACGCTACACGCCGTGTGACCTTTGCACCTACCCTGACTTCTGTGAGATCGTCTCAGGAGATTGGAGACTCCAGAATCTCTCTAAAGACTCTTTTGAATGCTATTAAAACCATGGAGGGAAGACTGGAAGGTAAAATAGACATTCTTGCCTCAAGACCATTAATAAATGATGAGTCATCAAATTTACCTAAACAGGATTTGGTAAGTGAAGACCACAAATTAAATCATAAGGAAATTTCAGATTTATACAACAATGAAGAAAAGTAGTAACAATCTAGAAAGATAATGTCTGGAGGTATGAGTAATAACAGGAAATTAGGTTTTTCATAAATTAGGGAAAACCAATGATGTAGATCTAAACCATCATTTTGGCTATCACATAATTTTTATTTTTAGACATAGAAATATGAGATTTGGATTAACAGTAACCACTGAGGTTTTTTTAATCTAATTTTTTTTTAATTCAAAATGTCTACCTAATCTTAATGTTTGTAGTTAAATGTTTGGGTAAAGTCTGATTTTAAAATAGAAAATTATTACTAGAAGCCCTAAAAACTTGAACATTGGAAAATATTTTTCAAAGAAAGCTTTTTAGAGCACCCATCTTGGCTTGATACTTAAACATAGAAGGTACTATAGCTTGTCTTCTAGGGTTGACTACTATTTAGAGTTTTTCTGTAAACATTTTTGCTAGTGGCATATATAATTGTAAAAACTATACAGTTCACCCTTGAACAACACAGGGGTGAGGGACATCAACTCCCTGTGCAGTAAAAAATTTGCATATAACTTTTGACTCCCCCAAAAGTTAAGTCATTCCTTGGTAATGGGGCATTGGTTCCATGATCCCCCGCGGATACCAAGATCCACAGATGCCTGTATAAAATGGCATGGGTCAATGCATACTATCTGCCCTAGGCATCCATAGACTCTCAGCCGTGGATCAGAAACAGTACAGGTATTTATTGAAGAAAATTTGCATATAAGTAGAGCCAACACAGCTCAAATCCCTGTTGTTCAAAGGTCAACTGTATTCTTGTGTACTTTTCTAGAACAGAAGATTTTCAGAACTTATAAGTTGGCATTCTTTGTACTATTATTAAATCCTTAAGGAAAAAGTTAAAGTATTTTAAATGTTACAGGTGAAAACTTGTAAGGAAGTACAATAATGTTGAGGAAGATATGGAGAAAAGACATTCTTCTTGTTGCTATTGGAAGTATAAAGTAGTACAACTCCTATGGAGGGCAGTTTGGCAATGTTTATCACTTCACCTTACAATTGTACTTCTAGAACTTTCTCCTACAGATATACTAGCTTGTACATTATAACATGGTTACAAGTTACTTACTGAAGTGTTGCTTATTAATAGCAAAAGACTGGAAGCAATCAAAATTCCATCAATAAGAGACTGGTTAAATAAATCATGGTGTATCCGTGGTTTGGAATACGCTTGACAATAGATATAGAAATAAATTATATGACCTATACAGTTCAAACTCATGTTGTTCAAGGGTCAATTGTATATACGTATATATTTACTTGTAATGCATAGAATGTCTCTGAAATGAATCATAATAAATTGCAACATTATTTTTGAGGAAAGAGACTGAGTAGCTGGGAGATTTTGCTTTACCCTTTTGTGCCTTAAGAATAAAGTGAATGTGCTGCCTATTCAAAATAATTAATTTCATGAACATTTAATTTTCAACAAAAGTGAGAGAAAGGATGGTCTTTTCGATAAATGGTGATGGAGTAATCAGATATCCACATTTGAAAACAAACAAAACCTTTGAGCTCTACCTTACACCATGTATAAAAATTAACTCAAATTAATCAGAGCCCTAAATGTAAAACCTAAAACTATAAAACTTCTAGAAGAACAAATAGGTGGAAATTTTTGCGATCTTGGATTCCACAAAGATTTCTTAGATTTGACATCAAAAGCATGATCCATAAAGAAAAAAAAAAGATAAATTGACAGCTTATGCTCTTCAAAGACAATGTTAGAGAATGAAGAGATAAACTATAGGGCCGGCCGAGTGGCATGTTGGTTAAGAACTGGCTTGGGACGCCAGAGGGCCCCGGTTCGGATCCCACATATGAATGCCAGTGACACTGCCCTCTGCAGCTAAGGTGCTGAACAACAGCTCA